ACTGCTGTAACTTCAAGCTCATTTAGACCTTGATGCAGTCAATATCTCTCAAAACTCAAAACATGAAAGTTTTAGAGCTCTTTCGTATCATTCCATAGCATCTTGAATCATATCAATCGGAGCTTGGATGAGAGAGTTATGCTCAGATAACGAAATAATGTTGAAATAGTCCAATTAGCTTCGTTTGCATTTAATGTCTCCATTTGCATCCTAAATCAAAATATAAGAATAATGAGTACTTTTAAGCTTCAAATAAGTATAAAAGACTTTAAGAAACACCCTTTATCACCTTTTATTTGCAAACATCGCAAAATTTCATTAATAGTCGATTCGGATGGCTAAAATAGAAACTTTAGTGTTTCGGGTGTACGTTGACTTGGGTGTTGAGATAAATCATAAAAATAAATGTTTTTAGGTTAAAATAACATTAAAAATGAATCCGAAACGTCGAAAAACCTTAGGGTAGTTATATGGATCAAATTGGAGATTCTTAGTGGCAAAACCATAAATTTGGAGAAACCCAAAACAACCTGTGAACAATATTTTTCGGGGCTGGTATGTTTTAAACTCATTTTCATCTCATTTGCTCACATTTTCTTCACTCCCCTCACACCCCCGCACCTCTTGAAACCCTAGAGGGCATTAGAGAAGAAGAAAGGAAGGGAAAAACAAGAGATTCAATGGTGATTCAAGATCAAATATTCTTGTTCTTCACTCTAAAGCTAAGGATTCAATGTAGGGGTTTTCTCTCATTCACTTACATTAAGGTTAGGGTATTTATATATGTATGTTTTGACTATCAATGATATATATATACTATGGAATCATCCTCTCTTAGGCTTTTTGCAAGGATTACATGTTTTGAATAAAGTAGGGTTTAATACCCATGAAATCTCCTTTCTAGTTTTAAAATCCTAATTTTTGGAGAGTGATGTATTTCCTTCCTAAATGCTTTCTTTATTATGGATTTCGAAATCTTAGTGCTTTGTGTTGGGTAGAAAAATGATGTTATTGTGATCTCATGTATTTTCTTAGTTAATTGTAGAATTGTTATATGATATATTTTAGGAATTTTGGATAGATGCTTGTAAATTGAGATAAATGTTGGAATTGTATGCTTGGTTGGGTTGTTTATGATGCATATGAGTGAGAGGTTCCTTGTAAGGATGCTCACCCCTTCCCAAGAGGTTCCCGGTAAGGATGCTTGGGAAATAATGTAGTGATTGGTGAGAGGTTCCATGTAAGGATGCTCATCTATTTTCAAGAGGTTCTCGGTAAGGATGCTTGGGAATAAAAGGTGACCTAAAAAGGGGGGTAGAGATTACCACAAAGTATGCCACCTACCGAAAGAATTGTTGGGAATTGATTATGACAATTAAAGGTTATTATTTGTATGTGGTGCTCATTTATTCATTTAAGTAATGTTTTTAAATAAACTTGAGATCCTTTTTAAATATCACTACTTTATTTCAAATTATGTATCTATGTTATGTTAAAATTGAGATCGACCGCTTTAAATATTTTTCTAAACCTTGTATGGGTTTGGGAGAATTTTTCTACAGAGCTTCGTGCTCACCCCCTATTGCTAACATTTTTCAGATTACCTGCTTGAGGAGGAGGACGTAAGGGTCGAGGAGCCCGCTACTTGGGAGCCTCCACGAGATGGGAGTGTGGATCCTGAGGTGGACGCATAGAGCGACCTCCTTTCCTTTTGTACTAGACTAGGACATTCTTTTGGAACATTGTGTAGTCTAGCTTCTTTTATTTATTCCACTACGCTTTCTTAATTAATTTTTGAGATGTAATAGCCATGACTTGGACTTATTCTTTTGGATAATATTGTAAATATTCGTGGATGACAAATGAAGTCTTGTTTCTTAAGGGATTATGTTAGTGCTCTTATGATATGAATGATTTTAGAATGTAATGTCATCCAGGGTGTGTTTTGGGGCGTTACATCTTCCTCTTTCTTGGAGGCTCATTTAGGCTCAAAATTTTGATATACATGTCGTAGTATCTTGGAGGCAAGGAAGGTTATTCAAGTTGGTATGAGGTGGCAAATAGGGAATAGGGAAAATGTGAGAATTAAAAGTGATAAGTGAGTTCCACGTTCTATAACTTTTAAGGTGATAAGTCCATTACATTATTTGTTTGAAGATTTGTTGGTGAGTTCATTGAGTGTTATGGAATGTAAGCGTGGTACTTCGGCAAAGTAAAGGAATTTTTTCTGGAGTTTAAGGCAAAAGAAATTCTCACAAATTCAATAAATTTAATAAATTCTACAAATTTGACGCCCTTAAAACCGGGGATCCTTTATCAACTCGTTGATTACCCATCAACTTGCAGAAGTGCCCGTGAATATCACATAATCCGACGCCATGGCAATAACATCCCCTTCACGGGGATCATGAACAACACAATGTTTGGGTAGAGTTTCCCTTGTACTGGACATTCCTAAACGCATAACTTGTGTACATTTCTATCACATGACTATTTCAAGATCCAATATACATCAATTTACCCTTGATATTACTCAATTCACCTTCTTTGAGCTAAATGACTCAAGACCCCCCAGTGGCTTGATAAAAGTATTTTGATTTTCTGAAAATTCAAGGAGACCTACCGATAGAAGATTTAAAGTCCTACCAGTAGAAAAACTCACTGGAATATTTCTATTGGTAGAAGAGCTCACTGGAAAGTTTCTATCGGTAGAAGATCAACGTTCTACCAGTAGAAGAGCTCACTGGAAGACTTCTACGAATAGGAAATCAACATTCTACCGGTAGATCCTCCTAACTTTTCCCGATTCAATCCTTTTTCAATTCCAACTCTTCTAATCTCATACAACAACCACCCAAACTCATATAACATACAACTTTATACAAAACACAGTTCATATGAGTTTGTTTGCAAATCCTTGTATAATATTATATATCCAAAAACTTAATAACATAATTGTTTTACAAAAACGTAATTTAAAGTCACATTTCAGTTTTTCTTCATCAATGAGGGTTCAAGTGAGAGTTATCCACCGGCGCTTATCTCGCACCTGAAATGTTATCCCTATAAAGGGTGAGTCATGCTCAATAGGGTATCTCCTAAAGAAATTACTCCCTAGTCTAGATGCATATGAAATACTCACATGCAATTCAACAATCAAACCAAACATTCATCCAAGAATATACAATTTCAAGAACAAATGCCATAATGTCATGTCATGTTATCAGGTGAGACTCAAACATGCAATGCAACCAGAGTCTTCACCGGTTCCTATAACACATGTAATGTCATGCGTATGAATTCGGACATTCCAAACCACCACCATTGATGTTGCACATCCAATAACTATTTTATAAAATGAATCATGTATCTTTCTTGGGTAGGTGATTTCTTGGACTTGCACCAATAGTCCACCACACCGACAAGGATTTTGGTATCCCACTTCCGATTTCGTGTACACAAATACACTTTTTTAGATTTTCACCAACGAAAGTGTATAAACTAGTAATTGGGTCTTGCACCCGAGAGAGAGTCTAATCCTTCTTTCTATACCCGATACAAATTTTTCATGGAATCCGTGCAACTCAGTCGAATTTACGTCCAACCTTCTCGAATCCATGTCTCAACAAAAACATGCATACACCCACATATCATGCCCACAAATGTGATGCTTTCCGTGTATATGCAATGGTAATGTACAATTGTATTTTTCAATATCAAGATTAATATATCATGAGTACATTAAAAACGACTTCAATATCCATCAACATTTTTCATGGTCAATTACATCAAAAATATATAACCACCACAACAACCTCACCAAAACATATTATAACATTGTCAATACAATTAACACACTTAATCAATATAGACATTTCATCAAATAGCCTCAAGGCATAATTATAAATACATAGCATGTTTCTTTCATCACATATCTCAAGAATTCAAACACAAGTAATTTCAACAAATCCAATTCATGCTAGAATTGATTTTAACCATTCTTATACTCATTTTTCACATTTCGACTATTATAGGTATGTGTCATACATGAGATTACATTTTTAACACCCTACTCATTTCATATTTCAACCATGTATTGGAAATAAGCCTAATTAAGAGAAGAACTCTATCTCTTGAAGCGTAATACACGTAGGAGGAAGCTCCCAAAAACTCAAATCAAGCTTTAACTCTTGATTTCAAAAAATCCTATCTTTGAAACTTCATATAAATCCGTGATTTTTGATACGTAGACGTAGCCCTCATTGAGTAGATGAATTTTGGTTTTTGGCTCGAATGATTTTGACCAAATGTTGGTCCTAAATCATATAGAGAAGGTAAAGGAAAACCTTGATTTTCCCCTCTCCTCTTCCCTCTCTCTTTCCAGCAAAATTTGATGGATAATGGGGAGAAAATATGATTTTTCTTCTCTATTTATACCTCTTAGACACTTAGTCCTCGCAGTGCCACACGTCTGTTTTTTTTAGGTATGATTTCGTCCCGAATCAATTAAATTTTGTCTCGTTTCAATTAAATCTCGTATCGTTTTAAATTCAATATATTTTTATTTTGACTAATTTTAAATTATTTTTCACATTTCAAAATTTATTCTTGTGTTTATTTTGGTTACGCGACACTCGATAGTCTCGTAAAACGTAAAAAATTTTACTGTCTCAGAATTCAACGAGAATTAATTGAATAACAAGATTTCGCGAGACGAATTCAACGATGAGGTCCGTTTCATCGTTCGAGTTTTAAAAAAAAAATTGAGTTTCCATTCCATCCTATAATGACTAATAACCGTTTTATCAGTTTTAATAAAAATTTCAAATTTTCCCAATGTTATAATAAACACACAATAAATTCAATAAATTTACTATTCGCTGTTAAAATAATTAACACCGATAAAAAAAATAAGAATTGGGAAATTCGGTAACGAGGGCGGATCATACTATTACTTCGTATCGTTTCTTTCCATTCTCTTAGCTCATCATTTTCAGATTCCCGTATCTATGTTCCTAAATCCTTGTCAGTACAACATCCCAAAATCCCCAATTCCTATAAGAAAAAATGGCAACATCGGCCTTCAAGTCCGGTTCTAAAAGAGGAGGTTCTTCAGAGAATTTCAACTCCAATTCCAATTCCTCTTCTAAAATCCCATCTAGAAGGCGGTCTTTGAGTGTCAGCGCTGTGTCCAGAACACAATCTGGAGAATTCTCAAACAAAAGAGACAATCCTCTCTTCTGGAGCTCCACATCGCCTCCTGACCAAGAAATCGAACCCGATCCTGGGAAAGTCGATAAATCCGCGGCCAAGTCGTCAAAAATTAGTGGGTTGACTACGAAAGATGCGAGTGTCGGAGAGAGAGGACGGTCGGCGAAGCGAAATTCCGGTGCCGGGAGCGAAAAAGGAATCGGTCGGAGTCTGTCGCGGGTGCGAGGTCGGTCTGTGTCGAGGGGACATTATGGAAACTCTGAGGTATGGACTTCATATTTTGTATCTGACAAAATTTTAGAAATTTGGATTCAGGGCCTTGGATTTCAGGAGTACTATATTATGTTTCCAATCTAAATAAACTTGGATTCTGTTGGATTCGATTTCTTAAAGTTCCTCGTTTTTACTTGATCTACTGTCTACCCGGATTTTGGATATAATTTGCTTAGTTTTTTCACAGTGAAGAGGAGTGAGAATCTCATGTATAATCAGTGTATAGAAGTAGAATTAATTCAAAAATATTTGATAGTATTGGATTATTTTTTTTCTTTTTCAGCTTGAACATTTTTTAAAATGTGTATTTTTTCCAGAGTGAAGTGGAGCAAGAATCTGGTATTTTATCGAATTATCGAAACAGAAACGATTTGAATCTGGCTTCTAATAATGCGAGAGAAGTTAATGCAGTCAGAACTGGGGCTGATGGACCGACCCAGATGAACAATTCAGAAATACAATCCAGTCAGCATACATCTTTTTTGGGTTCGGATGATTCTGCTGTGAGTTTGACTTGGTTTATGGTATTTGCTAGAAAGGATGCTACTCTTTATGATGTTAACTTCGTTAAATGTGGTGTCATTCCAGTCTACTTTGCAAATTCCGTACTGGGAAGATCGGATTTCAACTGGTTCATTATCTGAAGCCGAGGAGAAAACAATCAAAGCTGTCTTCGAACAGATGAAGGTGAGGTGCATGTTTTGTTTTGGCCCTAGACCAGCCATATGGGGCAAGATGTAATTCGAGGCTTAGCTTGTCTACCACTAGTTTGGAAAGCAAATACGGTTGGAAACAGATAAATGTTGATCTTTATTTTTGTGGGTGGTAATTAGTAGGGATATAAAATGGTTTTTTTTCTTCCTTTATATTTGCAGTCAGCTGGGTCGGATAGCACAGGAAATGATACCACTACAAGCGGAATATACGAAACTGTACGGTCTGAAGTTAGACGTGCTATCTCTGATGTCCAAAATGACCTTGAAAGTGTAAGTTCTGAAACTGTCTTTAATCATACTTGAATTGCTTCCTATTCTTAAAGCACACACACTTGATAAGTTGATTGGTGTAATTAGTGAAGTCTGTGGTAAAAATAAACTTTTTCTCTGACTTCACAATGTTGTCCAAACTTCAGGGAGCTAATTCAAACAAGAAATCTACACTTAGCCAGAAATTGACTTTTCAAAAACAACATTTTCCTGCAGAAAAGTTGAGTACCTTCCATTGAGCACATCAATCAATTTTACATCAAATTGGAACGTTAGGGTATTTTGGTCTGTAGGTTACAGGTGAGTCCAGTGATGAAATCTCCATGATGTTCAACTCATTTCGGCTACGGTCTTCAATGTTCCTTGAATACTCATCTACATTTATAAACCTTGATCATGTTTTGCCTTGGAAGTAGTGGACACGACCTGAAATCTAATGCAATGTGTTTTACATTTTAAGCATTTGTATTTACGTGTTAATTTTATCTCTCTCTCTCTCTCTCTCTCTCTCTTTCCATATATATACATTGGAATTAAAAGAAAGTTTGCATAAGTAGGTAAATTGATCACATCTTCTTGATCAATTTACCTACTTAAGCAAACTTTCTTTTAATTCCAATGTCGGTTCAATAATCTTAAATCTTCTAGTCTCTTACTTAAGAGGTGAAATTTCATTTATTTGAAGTCTTCAAGTACATCATTTTCAAATAAATTTAATGACATCAGACATGAGAACCTCTTCCTTTTTAATTGCTAGGCCTTGTAAGAGTTAAAATAATTTGTTTTCTAGGCCTAATCTACATAAGACACTAAAAGTTTAAGAGATTTTCAACATTGTCCAAGTCTTGTAGAAGGCTTTATCATTTTGAATTGTATTCTACATGGGAGCCTAAAATTAGGTGGAAAGGGTCTTAGTTAGTTGACTTGGAACTAAGTTATCTAAGGTCTTAGTTACTTGACTTGGAACTAAGTTATCTAAGATAGCTCAACAATCAAAAAGTATTTTCAATTAATTGGTCATAGGAACTCTAATGCACAACTCTCACCTTTTTATGTTCTTCTCACAAACATGAAGGATATGCATACCAAAAGATGTGATGATTTAAGCATAGTATAGATATAAAGGGTTTCATAGTATCCCTTTTTTGCTTTAAGCATAAGGTATATGTATCATGAAAATATGATTTACCTTTGAAGTTCTATAATCAACCATCTTTGGTTCATGTACAACTCAACTCAACAAAACTTTTATCTCAACTCTTTGGAGTTGGCTACATGAATCCTTTTTTTTCTATTGTGCTCTATTAATGACAATATTTTCCCTTATACATATGGTGTTGTACCCTTTTTTTAGTATCACATTCAAAGTGAATTTTCAGCTCAACTCTACATTTCTCATTACCAGTGATATGTATCACATCGCGCTTTCTTACTGTGATAGAACTAGTTCTGCCATAACCATCCTCCACGCATGAATCACCAAAAATAGAGTATTTACTTCACGTGGCGTAGGCCATAATTGATAATTTAGATCAAAGAAAGCAAAGAAAAGAAAACTAAAGAAAAGGAAAAAATATTATTACTGTGATCTAATCTGCATTACATTCTTTTGAATAAATTATGCAAAAAGAAATCCCTTTATAGAAGGGCAAAACAATACAAGAAAAATGACTAAACTATCCCTAACACTAAAATACTCTAACAACAATATCCATGTGATCTTACAAGATAAGTTTTTTAAATTCAATTACGCATCATAATGTTCTAGTATTCCATACCCTCAATTTGCCTTCAGGTTTCCTTATTGGGGCTTTTAAAAGTTATATTTCCTGGTGCATTGAGTATTCCACTCTCTTCTTTCTTCAGACCGTAACACCATTTAGAAGATGTTTCTTTTATGTTTCCAAGGATTTCCTAGCATAAGTATTGTTCTTATGATTTTAGCTAGGCTTTATTTTGAAGCACGATTTTGTATTTCAATTCTTTGATTTTTACTCAACAATTTCTTGAGCATGGTATGAAATGTGGGAGAATCTTCTATTTGCTTCCATGCCATGCATTATGCACTTGAGAAAATTTTTGTACAATAGTTTTATGAGAGTTTCTTGATCTAGTATATGTACTCCTATAACCATTACTATGTGTTAGAGTTCTTAATTTTGTATTAGTCATATTTATGGAGTATAGGGTAATATTGTAATTACCTAATTGTTTCTCTACTGTAAATAAAAAAGTGTAGGGCAACACAACTGTACACACCGATTATCCTTTCTCTATTTTGTCTCTCTCTCTTCCACAAACCTTAAACATACTTTCACCAATTTAACTCTATGATTTTTTAAGAGTCATGATACTAATCTTAGTTTGCAGTTCTCTGATTTTCAATGATGTATTTTACTCCAATTTTCAGTTTTAGTGGCTTCTAGAATGTAAACTCCTAGAATTGATACAATTTTGTTTAAAAGGAGTTCACGTTTTAGAAAGATAAAAAGAAAAGGAGAGAGATTAAGAAAAGAAGAAAGAAAATAGAAACAAGTTGGAGGCTATCCTCCATGACTGAAAAATATTTTGGAGTCCTTAATTCACTCTCTTTTGCTTCTTGAACCAAACGTTAAACCATTTCATAATTAACTCTTTTGGATAGTATTGTGTGGTGATGTAGGGCTTTGCTCTCCCAGTTAATTTGGTTTCAATTTGTTTTAAGTCTTCTCTTGCTTGTTCTTGCGAAGGGTTCTCCATCATTTACTTGTACCCATCCTCCTGATCCATCATGAAATGTTATTTGTTTATACTCAGAAGGAGAAAACACACAAAATCTAGTTAGTAAAATAAACAATGATTCTCATTTATTTTGCAAATGCAGATGAGTACTAAGTAATTCTTGTGGTAGAATAATAATGCCATTGTGTGCTATCCAAGATAAGGTTGGAGTTACAGCAGTATGCCTGTTGGCATTCTTTTAGATTACAATAATGCTACACTCACCAAAATTTACACCGAATTTTTTGCACCAAATGAACGTGATTTGTTGGACTAATGAGTTCCACTAACATCATCAAATATGCACTGATTGAGATGTTGCCACATCATTTGCTCCAAAAGATTTGGTGGACAACATTTTCCTTTAGGTTAACTTGAAGAGTTTTCTGCGCATGCGGAGACCCTTCAAAAGTTAAGGATTTTGTTTGGCCATTTTTTCTCAATAGGGTGAACATTGATGTTTGTTTAACTTGTATGAGCAATGGAGAGTCAAATGCCTCTTTATTTATTAATTATTCTTTTGTGTGGGGTTGTGGAATAAATCTATCTAATAAGATTTTGAATTTCGTCCCAACATATTTTCCCCGCCAATTTCTATCACATCACACATTTCCATTACAAATTGAATCATTTAATTTTAGATTAATTTGTGGCTCAATACAACTTTTATTTCAGACATTGTTTATACGATAATGTATACATATTGATATTTTTTTTAAAGTCATGTATTTTGAGAAAATTTTGTTCATTTTTTTTTAAAAATAATGGATAAAAATTAATGTCAAATTTGGGATCGATTTTTTAGATGATCGGATTTTATGTTATATTGTGTCTTCAGGTAGGGGTTATATTTAATTGTTTAGTGTAATTAGAGAGATATGAGTTTGTTTGGCTATAGTGGAAGAGATGTTGCAGATTAAATTTTAGGGTATATGGAAAAGCAAAAAAGCTAAGCTTTTGTAGAGTTGTGTGTTGATAGTGATTCTTTGGAATATTTGGTTAGATAAGAATGCAGGAATCTTCAAAAATCAGTCCATTGCATTGTAGTTGTTTGGAATAGAATTATGTTTCTTGCTTGTTTATGGATCAAATCCGCATGAAACTTTTTTTGGGGGGAGAGGGGTGTCTTTTGTTGGATCTAAGGATTGGAAAGCGTTTCTATATTTCTTTTTCCATTCATGTTTTTGTAATATCTTTTGTTTCTTTTTATCTTGTGAGGATATCTTTATCTCCTGGAAGTTGCTCAAGGAATTCCTCCGTATTGTAATATTTGATACTTCTTTCATAAAAAAATATGTCCTTGCATGTATTCAAAATCCAAAAATATATACCTGATGTTGAATTGATACTGGTACATGCTCTACCAAATCCACGACTCTTACTTAACTAGGCCATGAGTTGGAGATAACTTGGTAGGATCGTTGCAACTCGGTCTGACTTAGACCAATTCGTCACCAAGTTGAACGAGTTGCAATGAAATAGTAGACCCACATGAAAAGCCACTCAAAATGCAAAAAAAAAAAGAGAGAAAGTTGCAATCAACCAAACCAGGAAAATGAAGTCATTGTCTCTTCCTCCTCCTCCTCTTCACAACTTTCGGGGATCGTGCATTTGGCACCATTGCAGATCACCACGGGCCTATAATTCCTTCTCTGCTAACTAGGAGCTTGAATCTTAAATCGTTTATCCTCCTCCTCCTCTTCACAACTTTCGGGGATCGTGCATTTGGCACCATTGCAGATCACCACGGGCCTATAATTCCTTCTCTGCTAACTAGGAGCTTGAATCTTAAATCGTTTATCCTCTTCCCTCTCTCTCAGTTTGAAGGGGCACTAAAGAGTTTAGAATCATCTGTTTCTAAAAGCACTAAAGGATTCATTTCTTGATTTCTTTTTTGTTTTTGTTTTATATGTTTTTCCTTTATGTTGCAGTAGATAATGTGTATCCTTAATATTTGGATAAAAAATTGTGTTACTGTTATAATAATAGATAATATATTTTATTTTTAGTTTTCTATTGGTTTAATTTTTGAATGAAGTGATATTTGTTCGATAGTTTTGATTTCTTAGTGATTAATGCTCCATTTCGAACGATAAAAAAGTGGGAGGATGGAAAGTTGGAGGAATAAATAAAACATCATGTTTTGTAAGGAAGGAAAGTAAGAAGGATGGAAAAGTGGATGGATTAACTTTCCTTCTAACTCACCAAAATCAATCCCTCCAAAATCGGAAAGAAAGTGGATAGAAAGTTAATTATTTGTGTTGAGATGTATCTTATTTGTCTATATATCTTATGTATACATTAATTTCATATAAAAATACAATGGTAAAATATGTATATATATTTTAAAAAATAAAAAAATAAAAAATAAAAAATAAATTAAATTAAAAAATAAAAATTTTAAATTAAAAAATATATATTTTTTCTATCTTAACTAAGAGTGAAAATTTTCGATTCAACACGATGACATGACTCGAACTCGATACAAAAATAAACAGGTCAACTCGCAACTCGACACAACACGACACAATTAGTTAAATGAGTTAAGTTAAGTTTGACTAATATCGACACAAACTCGTAATGATTCAACACGAATCTGACACGACTCGATTCGATTGTCACTCCTAATCTTAGTCAGCACAAAAAAAAAATTTATTTTTATTTTCCATCCATCCAACCAAACACAAAGGAAGGAAAGTGTATCCTTTCTACTTTCCATCCTTAAAGGATAGAAAGTGTATCCCTCCTATTTTTCATCCTCCTTACCAAACGGAGCATAAATGAAATGAGAATACAGAATAAAATTTTGTCATAATAGTTAATTTACATTATTTGGTATTATAATAAATGCTTAGATTCAACAATGACGATGATTCATATTTTTGGTGGCACCCTTCTGTTTGTTTTTATTACATTTAATGTCCTAGGGGGTGTATTTTTGAACTATGATGCTTGAATATAGTTATTCATATATTGTTAAAGTTTCCATGATTTAATTAAATTTGTTTGGATCTTATATCTAGCATTTTGTACATATTAGCCAATACCGTTTTGTAACTCTGTAACCGATGTGTCTTTTTGTCGTATGAATCGATGACTAATACAGTAATCTTGAACCATGCTTTAGAAATATGAAATTAGAATAGATTTTTGGACAAGTGAAAAGATAATAAAATGTTAGTTGATTCGTTTAATGTGGATGGTGGGTCAGCAAAATTTTTTTCTATACCACCACACAAGTTTAACTTGTTAGTTAGACCAGTTAATGGATCGGATTTGGGTTAGATTTTAACGGATCCGAATTCGATTTTAAAAGGTTGGCATGAATTTAAAAGGCTTGCTCGAATCCGATTATCTGCCGGATTTTATTTTCGTGGTTCATATCTAAATCCGTTAAAATTCTCAAATCTAATCCAATTTGATCCATATTTTTTCAAATAATCACTTAATATCTTCAATATTTATATATAAATATTTGGATTGGATCATAATTAGATCAGATATATGTATATCAAATTAAAATCCGTTAAATATAATATAGCGGATTCGGGTTATCGGTAAAAAAAAAAAATAGATCCATATCGGTCTAATCGGATTCGGATCAAAGTCCGATCCATTGACAGGCCTATTGATAGTAAAAGTACTTTCAAGCCACAAACAGTGCACGTACTTGTTCACCATGTTATTAGTGCTGTTCCTAAGCTATTTGCATAGGGTAACAACATACGGATAAACAATCAACCTGGTTTTAACGTATTAAATATGACAGTTTGCTTGTCTAGTTTTCTTAACCTATTACATTTGTTTTCCTTGTGACGTTCGTCATTTCGTTAACTTTTTATTTTGGTTTTTACTATATTAGGCTATCCGACGAAATAATGCTAATGCTATTGCAACTACGAACATAGCTGATATCCCTCCTGACATGGTTAACCCTGGAGCTGTTGAATTAGTGTTAGACATCAGAAGGGAATACACCAGGAAACTGCAGGAGGTGATACTCTCTCTTTAAGCTTTGTTTGAATGATTGTCTTGCCCAACATCTTCAATTTGATGACATCAATTCTTAAAGATTTATGGCGTAAGTAAGTATGGAAATAGAGTGGAGGTACCACCCTATTTTACTAGGCGTCGTTGGCCTACTATTCTATTTTACTCAGTTGGAGGCCAATGTTGCTACTATAAATTGCCTGTGCAATTGCATAAGCAAGGCCATAAGTTTGCTCATAACTGTTTCATCCCATACAGCTCAACATGTGTAGGTTCTCTCCTTGCACATGATTGGGTTTAGTTTTTTCTATCTCCCTCTCTCATACACACTTATGTATAAGTATACTTTTTTCCATGACTATTTTAACAGGCCATGATTTATTTGAACATTTTCCTTTCTATAAGCAGTCCCAAGAACGGGCCAGAAAACTTCGTGCTGATCTGGCTGTTGAGGAGCACCGTGGACAGGAGTTAAGTAGAATCCTGAAAGAGATACTTCCAGATCCAAAAACATCTGCTCCTCAGAGACCTCGTCTGGGAAGAAGAGTAGGCTATATTTGCTTTTTTGCTGAAATTTGTTGTTTATACAATTTTGAAGTTAGCCATGCATTACCTGGATGAAATTTAGTCTGCAATAGATTGAAGACATGCACAATGAGTTTTTGTTCTATGAATAGCATTCATATTGGCAGCAAACCAGTTTGGGTGCCAGTCTATCCATGTGTCAAACAGCCTTTCCTCTTGGGATGTTGGACGTAAGGGATCATTATATTTTGTATTGCGTGGCATAGAAGTGAGTACAGCTCCCATTGAACCATTGTTGATCTAGTTGGAAAGGGGCCTAGCACTTATGTGTGCACTAGGCATAGACTGTTGGTTGACCATGATGGGGTTAAATAGGTCTACTGAAAAATTTACCGATTTCTAATATTGACTGATTGGAGATGAACACACTAAACAAAGATCGATTGTTTCAACCAGCAAAATTGTGGCAATTTAAATGATTATATCCATGAGTGCAGTGCAGTCCAATCAATCAAAAAATATTAGAAAATACCGATGTTTTAATATATTTGTCACGTGGTATCTTGTGGTCAATTTTTGTCTAGCATTTGAACAAACATTGAACTTGGATCTAACATTGCCTTTTGAAATTTTACTCTTTAAGCAACCAAAGCACAACATTCGAACTAACATAAACTTAGTCCGAATGGTAGTCTTATGAATTGACTCATATTATTTCAAAACTAAATTTTTCTTAAAAAACTGATGGACAATAGAAAATACAGTTTTCAGACCACCTTTTAAATGAGATAAACCATTGATGTACATTGGAGTTTGATCGAAGTATTTAGGTCAACTTATCATGGTCTAAACTTGTCATTTCCAGACACTGCTCATAAACTTCTCTGCTTCAATGCTTGCAATATATTTCTGTTCATCTAGCAATCTGATAAGCAAAACCATATCGACCACGAACTAGGAGAATACATAACGAACTTCAAAACTACACATCTCTTTTGTATTCTGGTAATGACCACACACAGACACAGACACAGGCAGTGGATTTGCCATATAGAACTGAGCCAACACAATATATGGATACTTGCACTAATGGTTTGTCAAGATACATCATGATGGTTTTGGTATGATCTGTTGGGGGTTGAAGACATGCAAAAAGAATGATCGATGTGGAAATAATTACATAGAATTAGGTGTTTGTGATTTTGTCCTCTTCTTCTCTCATTCGTCTGAAATAATTCCAAAGTATTGTGTTGGAAAAATAAGGGAGATGCACTTGAAATGGATGTCTGAGTTAAGAGTAATAAGAGAACATGTTACGTCAAATATTCAAGAGCATGCAAAAGCTTAATGATGTTTTGTATAAATTTCTAACTGGTTGATCTTGGTTCTTTTTGGCCAGAATGCCTGTAGAGATAATCGGCACATCAGGTTGGGAAGATTGAGAACATTATCTCATGTTTTCATATAGGAAAAGAAGTACAAATATGCAAGGATCAAAATTTTGTTTTAGTGCATTGTTTCAGTCACCCAAAAAACAAAACATTTATAAATATTTCCAAACAGAATGAAAACAAAGAAAAAATTTGGAAATTTGTTTCCACAACATTCCGAAATCTTGGTCAAACATTCTGAAACAACACTTCGAAACATTTCAAAACACTTGAAACACAAGAATTTTAATATTCAATTATTGATTCATAACAGTTTCTATGGAAAGAGAAACATTTTGGCCATTCTAAAGCGAAATTTGGTTCATTGCAAATATCTTGATATCCATGGCTACTTGCCTGCTATCTGAGCTAAAGGTGAGTTTTGGGATTAGCTTATAAGGAGGTAAAATTGATTTGCATTTTGGATGCTTTAGGATATGAACGGAATCATGTCATTTTTACGTTATCTGACGAACTTATCACCAGAATGCTGTGTATAGTTCACAAGTCATTTGGGAAGATACAGGTTGCCATCTTGTAATTGATACAAATAGTAAAACCCTTTTTTTTCATTTCGTAATTGGCATGTAGTTGGAATCCCATTCTTTAGTCAATATTTGAATGTGTTCCTCTCTGTTCTGTACTCCTCAAAATGACTTACTGCCATCTGGTGACAGACAAGCAATGAAAGAAAAAAAATGTCAAAACGTCTGACTGATGAAGCAATGGCGTATTTCGATGAATGTGTCTCCATATCAACATTTGATAGTTCTGATTTCTCAGCACCAGAAGATCCACCTCCCGCTTCAGTTGGAGCCACTGTCACAGTTGGTGGCATTGCTTCTTTGCCCCGAGGAAGTCCAAGCATTTCAACCTCCTCTTGCTCAAAAAGTTGCCTCAACCGTAAACAGGTTCACATCCTCATAGACTGGTGTTCATAGGCATTCACTAGAATGTTCTAAACAGTTAAGATTGGCTTGACTTGCCAATGGAATTGAAAACTTCACGGTTGTAGTAATCAGTTTTATTACTGATTTTCACACCTAGCAGAGCATGACAAATTATGCAGAAACGGAGTTTGCCCCTTAAACTTTTATTTTTCTGACTTTTCAACGAGTCCTTAAACCATGAAAAGTGTAGCAATCAACTGCTTTCATCCTATTTCTTGTTAAGACAAACAGGAAAACCCATGATTGTTCTAACTTGCCCTTAAACTTTCATTTTTTCAGACTTATCAGCTGTTTATGGATGGAATTAGACGAAAGGGGGCTGATTGCTATGCTTTACATGGTTTAAGTACAAAATTGAGACAATTGATAGTTGAAAGGGTATTTTCAAACTGGGAGCATAATTCGAGGGTCATCTATGATATTTACCCTTTATAGTATGATTTATTAAAGTCTATGAATATCTTGCAAAGGTGTAGGGTATTTGATTCAATGCGTCTTATGACTGCCTTTAAAATCCAATGACTTGCTGTTGCACTTGTGAATTATTTGTCTGATAAAAGTCTATGCTTCATTATACCCGTCTTGAAGTCAAATTGACTGTTGCATTCATTTACGGTTATCAAAGTTTTATGGTGTGACTCAGCAATCTGGCTCCATGATAGTCAAAGTGCATTCTCCGTGGTCTACGGTTGCGATAATAAGAAATTGAATATAACGAGTGACACAAGCAATAGCGCGGCGACAAAGAACGGTATTGGCTGGATTAATGACAATGACCCAAACAGCTCGTAGTTGACCCGGAAATGTCTCACACGACTCCCAAGTTGCATGAGACTCGTGGTCTAAATATAAGTAATTGGAACAGAAGGTTCCCAGTTGGATAAGACTTGATTGGGTCTTATGAGTATCGGCCAATACTTTGAATCATGGCATCCTCACATATATTTATTCTCATAGACATATATCTTTTTCCACTATTCTGAGCATTGAACTTGTTTCCGCTATCCCTTTTGCTTGTTTACATTTTTTCAGAGTTAATTAACAGTTTAAGATGTCCAGATGACGCCATCTTTGCCTCTATGCTTCTTTGCTTCCATTTGTAAGTGTGTATTATTAAAAAAAGAGGAAAATAATACATTGAAATACATCATAGCCCGGGAGATGCACTATTCCTTAGGGATTAATTTTTGTATTGTTTTCCTAACTTGGAACTTATTGGATTTATCTTCTTAATTTGTCCTGTTTTAATTTAATTTTTGATTTATTAAATATTGGAGATTGCCTATAGATTTAAGGCTTGTGTAAGAAGGATAGGGTTTTGAAAATTACATACGTGGAGTCTCTCTCTCTCTTGCCTTCTCTCCTATATTTCTTCTCCCCATTCATCTATTTTGTGCTCAATTCTTCTACTTCTCTCTCTTATTCTCTACTTTCGCAGTAGTCACTCTTTCTTTCTGTTCTCTTTCATCTTTCTTATTATCTGCCCCATTGTCCTAGTGTCTTCACTGTCTTGCATCAACAAATCTTACATGTGTTCTGTTTCTTTCTGTTGCTTGAACGGATCTATGTTTCCTCAATCACACGATGCAATGACTAGTTCTTACCTAAAAGTGTCGCAGATGGCATCCAAAGAAAGGCTTTTGAATTTTTTCTTTTAGCTTTCCAAGTCTTTTCATTTGAATTTGTTCTGCTGGCCCACTTTTATCAACCAATTTTGTCTATCATAAATCCTCGCATCCCAAGACTTTTGTTAAACTTTGTAATTTCCAGTCTATACCATTTGACCTTCAGTGTCACTAGTTTTCTGGTGATGATATCTCCTATCTTCTGACGTTCCTCTTTGGCTATTCCCTAAGATAATCTATCACCTCATCTCCAATAAGAGTTTCTGCTATATTTTTATTGTGTTATTTTTTATTGTTAAATTGTGCTGCTCAGGAAAAAAGTGTATGTATGGAATAGGCAGTAACGAAGATTATGTGAAAGGAGAAAGAAAAAGCAAAAGCTATTCACAATGTGGATGCATTTAGGGCTTAGAGAAAACCCTTTCCATCAGCAAAACTTCAGACCATATCCTTTTTCTTATATACCTTCGCAGAAGGAGGACTTAATATGTCTGTTTGCTGGTAATAAGTTGCAGAAAAGTGAGAAGAAAAGAAGAGGAAGAAAACTTGAAATCATTCCTAGAATCCCTTGGCCATCACACTTGTGGTTGGGGTTTCATCACAGAAAGCAAAAAAAGGCTGCAAAAGATCTGAAATTCCTCTAAAAACTGTACCATATTCATTTATGAAAGATCACTAGTTTATATATAAGCTAAAAGAGATCTCCTACTCCAATAAGACTGTATCTCCAGTTTCGAAACTTTAAAATCATACTAGTCTAAATCAATTAAATCACTTGTAAAGTGAAAAAAACATAACAGGATCAAAATAAGACCCATGTGTCACTACTGCAGAAATACCACCGAGTCCTAAAAACATTATAAACCTATCAAAACTTAAGCAATAGACACTCTGAAATAAACCATAAAACAAGACTTTACAAAAGACTCGAGACTAAATTATGCATCTCTCAGTCTTGAAGCCAAGCCAAATTCCTTTGTTTGTCACATATTTCAATTTATCTCTCCTTGGCATCTGATGGACTGGACCACCATCCTTGTTTCATTGTATTATTGCTTTCATGTTTCATTGTACTTTTTTCTTCTTAATAGATAAATAACTTGATTTCTTTCATGTTTCATTGTATTTTTTTTCTTCCTGATACAAAGGGGTACAAAAATGTGTTAATTAAAATAAATAGAAGCTTACTTAAGCTCAATTGAATTATCCTCTAGCTGCGTCAAACACACTTTGCTTTTGTATGTGACAACATGTTATGGACTGCGTCCATTTTGGTCTAGATTGCTGCAGGTTGTTCAAGTGCTTGAATAGAGTAAACCCATGTGTCTAATTGACAGCAATGCATGGTTTTGACATCATTCGATCGTGATCATTTGATAATCGTTCTCATGTTATGTTCACGAAGTAATCACATTTTCTGTCTATAGTAAAAAGGCTGAAAAGGGCATGGTTTTTTATTGCTTAATCAATGACACCATAGAGTGATGCAAGTTTGAGTTCCATCCTTGTGCCTGATCCCTGTCTGGTCTAGAGATCCACTGTTTTCTCACACTCCTTTCTCAATGCTGGCTATTGTGTGCTATGTTACAATTTTAGTTAACAATGATATACCTTTTGCACGGGGACCTTTTATACGTAACCTGTTCTTGTTATCCTTGGGATTCTATAAATTTTTCCTCTTATCTTTTATTTAACACGGAATTGCCCCAACTTAGAAAAGAGGTTCTTCAACTTGAGTGGAAGAGATCTGTTGAAAATATTTCACCTTGATCCCTCCCCCTTCTCTCACCCAAAAAAAAGAAGATGAAATTGCTTTTGTTTCCTTGGTTCGTTTGGTTATGTAGTGGTGTACAACAGAGCAAAATAAAGAACAATTAAGAGAGAGAGAAGAAAGGGAGGGGGCAAATTTATTTTTATGAAGAAAGCAAAAGAAAATATGTTTTGTAGTTGCAAGGATTTCAAGTAGTATGAGGTCTATCTGCCCAAATTCCTATGTGATCAGACAACTTTCAAAAACTATGTTCTGATGTATAGATAATGATCATATACTTACAGGAATCAGGTGTCCATGGTCAGCTCATGGATGGACGTGAGGATTCTGGTTTAACAGCTAGCAGCAGCAGCAATGATCCCTTGATGGATCCAGCCAGTCAAAGAAGCACTAATACGGAACGGATTCGGAAACAGTTCTCCTTTGGTTGCAGATCAAATGAGGTTATTGGCCTCCAACAAGATATTAGGAGCTACATTACACATTTTGGGAAAGATATTGATAAAGATGGTATCAACTCAGAGAGTACAAGATCAAATTACTATGATGCAGATGAGTATAATTTCCAAGGACATGCAGAAGGCCTGCTATTTGACAGGGTGTTTCTTCACAGCAGAATGGAGTCTGGGAGTTTGCATCTCTGTGGTGGAGGTTTTGCAATTTCATTCTCTCCTTTCGCTTCTTTTATCTGAATTAGTGGTTGAGGAATTTCCAAAAGTTGTGCGTGTGATAGCTCGTTTTAATATGAGGATATTGTATGTTCATATATATACATAGAGTTATATAATGTTGGGGATACATGTAGCTGATTCCAAGTAGTTGGGAAAATGATAGGTTGAGTCAAGTATTGAAGAGAAAGGGTGGGTGGTTGTAAATTTTTGAATCAATTGCCCTTGTATCATGATTTTGCAATTTTTATTTTATTATATTTTCTTTATCATAATACTACACTTTCCTAATGAAATATCCGAACTACCCTTGTTTTTATGAAAGTGTGTTTGTCAAATATGTTTACGAGTGTTTTTAGTGAAAGTAAATTTTATATTTGCATTGAAAAGCGTGGGTTTTGAACCACGTTTTTATTGAAACAATGATTGTTTAGGAACCAAGTTAGAAAGTGAAAATTGAAAAAACTCGGTAGGATGGGTTGTGGTAACGTGACAAGCTACGTGTAAGCAACATTGTCCATCGAGTTCTTTATGCAAGACCTGCACTTTTGGTTCTTGTACATTAAAAACAAATTACAAGTGGGGAATTCTAATCTTTGCTCATATTATATGTGGCCAAAACAATGGTAGCGTGATGATTTGGGAAAGCTAGATGGGTACGAACGTATCAACATCCATGGATTTTATGCACTTTTGGGCCTAAATTTGGATTTGAGATATTGATTAGCAGATGGGTATGAACTCATCAACTCAAGAATCACTTTTGGGCTCACATTTTTTTTTTATGTACATAGTTTTTTGGGGAGAGAGAGGGAGACTTAAATTTTTGATTTCAAGAAGTCAAAACTTTTACGAGAGAAAGAGTACGAATAATGACCCATTGATTTTTGGGCTCACATTGAATCTATCGTTGTATAGATTACTTATTTCACTAATTTACTTAGTTTATTATTTTCACAATCAACGATCATAAATAAATCAAAAGAAGATTTAAGACGCAACATTATTTGGAGGCGCCATCCGTTTTACTATAAAACTTCCTTTTAATTTTTTTAAAACATGATGAAAAGTTGAAAATATGGAAAAAAAAAAAAAGAAAGAAAGAAATTGAAACCCTCATGTTATTTCTTTTTTTGAATTGGATCCTTGTGCTTTGTTTGAGACTAGGGCAGAGCAAGTACAGGGCCAGGAGGGGCACGAGCCTATATGAGTTAATTAGAGGTCAGAGTTGTGTATTTTTAGGATAATTAATCAATGCGCATAATTTTTTAGGTTTAAAGGATATTTAAAGACATAAAAACTAATTTATCTTTAAGGAAATAAATAATTATATTACAAAAATGAACAGTAACAGCGAATTCCTCGTGCTTTCCTTTCGGTCACGAACTTTCTCTCTTCATATAAAACTATAATTCATCAGACGAATTCCTCAAGAACATAAAGAAGAAAATAAAAAAAAAGATTAGCGAAAATAACCCTAGTTCTCTTAGGGTATGTTTGTTTGGGGAATTAAATGGTATTATAGGGTGGGATAGAAAGAAATACTATATGGGGCCCATCTATTATCTTATTTGTTTGATATTTTACACGCAGTACTATTTTTCGGATCGTAATATTAACACAATTTGCACAACATCCATTAAACCTTGTATATGGTATTAATGCATACCACCTACCCGGTGGTATTATCTTCATAGTATAAATGAAAGGACGATATAAAAGAAAAAATAACAAAAATACCCTTCTCTGTTAAGACTTCACATATAAAAAATTTATTTTAAATTTTTTCTTTGTATTATGTTTAAGCGTAGAAGTGTTACCAATTTTTTAAAAAAATATTATTTTAAATTTTTTCGTTATATTATATTTAAGTGTACGGTATCACTGATTTTTTTTTTTAAAATTATTTTAAATTTTTTCTTTGTATTATGTTTAAGCGTACAATGTTATTTTTTTTTTTAATTTTTTTTAAAAATTATTTAAAATTTTTTTCTTGTATTATGTTTAAGCGTACATTGTCACCGATTTTTTTTAAAAAAAAAATTATTTTAAATTTTTTCCTTATAATATATTTAAGTGTACGGTGTGATCGATTTTAAAAAAAAAAATTATTTTGAATTTTTTTCTTGCATTATATTTAAGCGTACGGTATCACCGATTCATAATATCAGATTCTTTATTTTTTATGTGAATTTTTTACATTATCTAGAATTTTTTTGGTATAGACTGTTATATCATGTATTATACCAAACATTATGAAAAAACGTTACACAAACGGAGTAATAGAATTGATGATATTAATAATAAAACGGTATATTTGTTATATAAGATATGATAAGATATATAGTTGTTTGTGAGATCTACACTAGTATCTATTAAACAAACAAACATGAGAGAGGATTAAAATATTTTTTATTATCGGTACTAATTTTTATTAATATTAAAAATATAAGGAATACATTTTCAATACTGCTCATATTTAATCCCTCCGGACAAACATGCCCTTAGTGCAGTTAGCGAATCTGGATTTAATAGACTATTCGAAGACTTCCAAAGTTCATGCCTACCTTTATTTATTGATAAAATAGATTATCATATTATTTTTGATTCCAATTTTATATATGTGTGATTTTTGAGCAATTTTCAATTGGGCCCACCCTATTCAAATCTCATCATTCTCTCGTATCTTTATTCATCTTCAACATCATCCATCATATAGTCTGTCACGAGTGTCTACCCTACAATAAATTTTTGACTCCACCCCTAGTTTGAGAAGTTATTGACAGATATTGTTTTCGCTAGCATAAGCTGAGTTCTTAACCATACAATTTGTATTTCTTCATATAATAAAAAATTTACAAGGAAAAAACATCTTATTCACAATAATTTATATTACATATTATCAAAAAGACAAAAATAGAGGTGTTAATCGAGTTGAATTTGAGCTAAATTTACATATAAACGACCTGACTCGTTTGACTATTTACACATAAACGAGTTTTAAAAAATGTTCAAGCTTGACTTGTTTAACAGCTTTAGACAAAAGTAATGTATTTTCCTCATATAACCCTAGATAAACATATTTATTATATGAAATTCCATTTCCTCATACGAGACATTAGTTGATTCATTCACTATCAATATATATATTCTTTTTTTTTGAAAAGAAACAATATTTCATTAATCATCAAAACAGAGTACATCAGCTTGAAGGGAAGACAATTTACAATCTGGAGCCACCCCCATCCAAACAATCCGATCATTACAATTTAACGCAAACTTGACTAAATGACGCGTAACTCTATTACCATCCCTTTGAATCTTGGTAGTAGAAAAGACAGAGCAATCATCAACTAACCTCTGGATTTGATTGATAAAATGACCCATAGGGGATAGCAAATTATAAACCTTCGAAATTGATTCAATCACTCATTTGGATTCACCCTCCAGAATAATGGTCCTAAACGAAACAGGCTTAGGAATCCACCTATGCAACTTCACCCTCATTCTTTCACCATTTTCAATCCTCCACCTCATCCCAGCCTCCAACACTTTTCTCGCTTCCAAAGTAATGTATACGATGGTCTATTCTCTAGTGATGCCTCCATGAACGAAGAGTAGGAAAATATTGTGTATAAAAAATTGACAGATCTTCTTTTATCCCTTTTTTTTAACTTGTGAATGTGGGGCGAAGGAGAGCGCCAGAGACTACTCTGATAGATTCTCATTAGTGGGATCATGAGACCCTTAACTACACCCGTTACTCCTTTATCAAAACGAACCAAATTAGGCTAACAGAGCCGTCAATTACCGAATCTCAATATGAACTCCAAAACTCGAACTTCTAATCTCAGGGCGAGAAGTTCAGCCGGTATCCACCAGTTTTATCTTTGTTATTTCTTAAATTTGCTCCCAGTACAATCTGATTTTTGCTGGAAAAATCGGTAAGTACTGACACCACTAGGTTTTCATAATCATATTTTCCTCCACTCAATTGTTGTTAATGATATTTCAACCTTGAATAGAATTCCATTATGTTTGTAGTTTGCATATTTGCCACCACTTAAGTGTATAAGACTTCCTTGAACAGAATGAGATAAAATCACATATCACTTCTTTTTCGAAAGAATTAAGAATTATTGTCTGCTAATTTAATGGATGATATATTCAAACAAGGGGACGAAATTATTAAAACTAAAAATGGAAATAATTACTAAGATAAATATCATAATTAATACTTAAATTTTGTCACGTATCAAAGAGTTAATCTCAAATCGCACCCGAAAGATCGTTCGAATTTTTATTTACACTCTCAAATATAAAAAAGAAAAATTAAATGGATAAATTATACCTAGACTCCCCTAATGCTTGTCACTTATTCATGTAGACCCCTCACATTTGAAATATTATACTTATATCCCTTGAGAATCCAAATATGACTAAAAATGATTAGGCATGCAAATAATTTTGTTTAAGTGATGTGTTGCATTAGATATAAAGAACATAATATAAATACCTGCATTATATTGAGCATTCAAATGATAAACTTAATTTTGAATATTAGAGTATAACAAACCCACAAAATAATATATAGTATGAAATTATAATTTTTTATTATGATGAAATCATATTTTTAATAGTTATATTAACAGTTATCAACAACAAGTGAGTATGTGTTACAGTGCACAAACGTTAGAAGATGTAGGAGTAATATTCTAAATGTGAGGGGGGTCCAAATAATTAAGGGATAAATATGAGGGAATTTAGGTATAATTTATCTATTTAATTGTATCAGATCCGCATTGATTCAAATTTCTATCTTTGATCGTATAAATTGAGATTTTTTATGAGATTCAAACGATTTTTCAGAGTGTAATTTATAATTAACCTTATTTTAAATAGTCTTTGAACTTTTAATTATTTCAATTTAGTCATTCAATTTATCAATTTTATATCAATAAAATTCTCCCATCAATTTCACTCGTTAGAACAAACAAATGCAGATGATGTGGACAACCATGTAACAAACACATGAACTTACTTTGTTTGTTTGTTTGACTGTTTTAACGGATAAAATGAATGAAAGGATTTTATTGACACGAAATTAAAAATTAAGAGACTAAATTTGGATAATTAAATTCAACAACTATTTTAAAATAAGAGATAAAATTTGAGAATTAATTTTAACTTTTATTCTAATTATTATAAGCTTTAAGGTATAAAGTGTAATTGACCATTTTTCCCTGGGGGAGAATGGTAACAATTGAAACAGTGGGAAAAATCTCGAACTAAAACATACGCAAAACAAATTCAAATCGATTAGCCTGCCAGAATCGAGAGAGAGAGAGAGAATGAGTAAAGCTATTCCTGTTGTGGACGTGGAAGACGATGATTTTCTATCTCAAGTAGCTGCAATGGAAGCCGACGCTCTATCCACGAAACGTCGTAAAACCACCACCTCCACCACCAGAGCCACCATCAACTCCGAAACCAACGAAGACAAGGGACACGAGGGAGCATATACAGCAGCTCTCAAAGGAAGCAAAAGCTTTGTATCTCAGCAACAACCCTTCAATTATTTCCCCAGTTACGGAGTAAAGTCGTTCGGTAGTGTTGAATCTGCTGCTGCCGCCGGTGGTGGTGGTGGTGGAGGAGGAGGTTCGTGCTTTAAATGTGGAAAATCGGGGCACTGGTCTCGGGATTGTAGTGAGAACTCGTATGGGGGCGGTGGTGGTGATTCTTCCGTTCCTGAGAAGGCGTGTCCCTGTGGGTTAGGGGCTTGTAATGTACTCACTGCCAATACTGAGAAGAATCGCGGTCGCAAGTTCTACAAATGTCCTCTCAGAGAGGTTCGTGCCACTCTCTCTCTCCTCGAATCCATTTCACAAGATTGTGTGTGTGTGTGTATACACACAGAACACGCATACATGTCATTGGTCATTTTGGTCTGTGACGGGATAGAAACCTAATCATTTGCAAGTTTTTATCTGTAGGAAGAGGAATTGATTGGAACTTACTTTGATTAAGTTGGATGATAGTAACTGACTTAGCCTTGTGAACTCATTTGAACCTGTTCATCTTTATAAATGTTGAATTCTGGGTTCATTTTCATCAATTTCAGTTGTGTTCAATTTCCCATCAATATATTCATGTTACCTCCCACTGATGTCTTGTGGGCTCTATAAACCCTACTAATGAGACCTGTGAATTTAATGGCGGATGCATGAAGTTGGTCAAAATTATATGTGCATAGTTTGTTAAGTGTTCGATGAGAAATTGATTTAAAAGCACAAGAATAAAAGAAATTAATAGACAACATATTTTGGTTCCAAATTTTAGGGGATAATTGTGTGGACGTTGTTCCGAAGTAATATTATGTTGTTAATTTGTGCTGTTTCTCTAGGAATTTTAATTTTGTGTACAAAAGGACTAGAGATAATGGCATTTTCCCAGTCAGAGGGTCATGTTGGAACCTGTATTCAATACGGTAATTGTGATTTGTATGAAATGGATGGACTATTCTTGATCTGAAACCCTAATCATGTGCATGAATTTATGTTTCTGAGCTATATTGTTATTCTCTAAAGCACTTGGTGGGCAATAGTGGGTATGTTATCTTACAAAATTTGTTAAGTTCTCATCAGATAATTATTTGCTCCCCTATCATTTGGAATCGTTAGAAGGTCATTGGATAATTTTGTACATGGATTATTTTGGATTGTACAAGTACGTGTCCAACAGCTCGAAGTCGGTCAATTTTCTGTTCTCTTTTCAATTTTTTTGTTCAGACTTGCAGTCTTATATACCTGTTAAGTACTTCAAATTTTCGAAATGTTCATTTGTTATTGAAGGACTAGTTATTGCCTGTGCTTGAAGGCACAAAGTAATAAAAAATGGTAAATAATAAATATATTTGTACTCATATCCAAAATTAAATCGCAAATATAGAGAAAAGATAAAAAAATTTAAACATGAGTTTGTAGTGGAGATGAGAGATAGTGGGCGGTAGTGGTGGTGGTAGGAGACAGTAATAGTTGTGGTGGTGGTGGGCGCAGCAGCGGCAATGATGATGGTGGAGGTGGTGGCAGCGATGGTGGGGGGTGGCGGTGGCAGCGACGACGGTGGTGGTGGTGGTAGTGGCGGTGGTAGGGGTAGGGGTAGGGGTAGGGGTAGTGGCTATGATAGTGATGGCGGCGATGGCGCTGACTGGGGTGGTGGTGGTGGCGGCGGTGGAGGTGACGATGGCGGTGGGGGTGGTGGTGGTAGTGGCGGTGGTGGTAGTGGTGGAGCGGTTCAAAACAATATTTTTTTTTTTAAAGTACTTATGAAAAATAATTTTTAAAAACACTTTTCAAAAATTATTCCAAACACACCCTTAGGGGCCTATTTTTTCCTATTAAATTTCGAGTTTTAATATTAGCCGCTTTAAAGTAAAATTTAAAGTGATCTCAACCGCGAATAGCAAAAGTCATTTTGTTTATCTTTTGAGATTTGAATTGTAAGTTACTTTATTATATAGACAAATTATGTGGATCACAAAAAACATATATGGGTGTTTGGGTTACCTTGATCTCAAACTCAAATTCGAGATGACAGATCTTCTACTTGTGTTACAAGCCTTCAATCACCACCATCTCTTCCCTTATCCGTAAAATCCTAGCGACTAAGATGATGACCCTAGAGAGAGCTTCTTGAAGAGAGATTATTGAGGGAGAGAAGATGTGATATTTTCTGGTATAGAATTATGTGTTTCTCCCCAATGTAATGAGTCCTTTAAATAGATGCAAGAGATTGAGTCCTATCCTTGTTGGTTTCTTATTCCCAATCCAATTCAACTTCAACGTTAGATAGATGAACTCCTATTGTAATCCAACTATTCATAATAGGGTTAAGGACCGATCCTAACCCGATCCAATTTCCAACAGTTGTACATTACTATAATTTTGCAGTTCCAATCTCAAGCTCATAGATTTTTGCTCTCCTATAATTTGGCTCAGGAAAACGGAGGTTGTGGTTTTTTTGAGTGGTGTGACAAATCTTCTGCAACTGATACTATGATTGGCAAATCGCAAATTTATACATCAAATCCTTCAGTCCCAGAACTTTCATGTCCATGTGGTGCTGGTTCTTGCCTTATTCTGACGGCCAAAACAGGGAAAAATATTGGCCAACAATTCTACCGCTGTCCCGCAGGCCAGGTATTGTTTGCCTATAATTTGATACCCAGTCCTTATGAATCCCGTCATTTAGTTTGAATTTGAGATAGTTATTACAAAGAATTTTATGAATACTAACAAACATGGTTCTCTTGTTGAGTTTATGTCTCCAATGGCATAAAATATGTGACTTATCTTGTGCCTTGCGTGCTATGTGCTTTACACTGACTGGAGTGCACTTCAGGGAATAGAATATTTTGGATTCTACCTTCCTTGTTAACTGTTGACTTGTTTAGTCACATTCGTATTGTTGAATGATATGGTGAGATCTTTGTCAAGTTGAAGCATTAAAGTGCCCTTAAATGTTTTTTTCATTTTGGTGCCGGTGGTATTATAAAGGTTTCGGTGCCCCTATCGATTTCCTTAGATAACAACTAGTTGGTGTGTGGAACATGGATCCTTGTTGTATAGGTAGCTTTATGTAGGAAGATATTCTTAAAATTATGTTCTTCTTTGCAACCACAATTCATGTAAATAAATGGCCACATAGTTCAACGTTCTTGATTACCTATAGTGGTGGGAGGCTATGTTACTCGGACGCGGGTGCGGGTATTGGGTGCGGGTGTGAATTTAGGTGTCTGATATCTCAAGTCAAAAAATTGTGGATACGAGGATATGGATCTAGATTTGGATACGGGTACCGGGATACGATCTAATTTTATTTTGTAAGAAATGATTTATGCATTGTTTAGAGTTAAAAAATTGTTTTCAAGAAACAACAAAATATAGAGATGTCATTATATATTAATAAGCTTGATACCAAAATCTGGTGGCTCCATAATAGCAATTGATCTGGGTCTTAAATAGACCAAAAGGACCCAGAAATTTCAAACATTGTTCCCAGATTACATAACCCTAAACAACATAAAATAGTACTTCTTAGTCTAGCATACTTAAAAAGGAACTACTCCTTATTCCATCATACTTAATACTTAATACTTAGTGTAGTTGCAACTTGCAAGAAGACTTTTAATTTTCGTCTTCATCTGGTTGTCCACCATGTGCCTTCACCATCCTCAAAAGTCATCATCTCCAACTTAGGTTCATCAAGAGAAAATTGTGCATGCTCTCCCACTTCTTGGCCTTCAATGTCAAACTCATCTCCACCTAAAAATTATCAATATATATATATATATACACTTGGATTATTAAAATAAAAAGTAAACTTACTTATGTCCCAATATTTTGAAGGTCCATCTTTGTACTCCTTGCTCTTCCTTGAGAGTAGGCGAAGATTGCAATGCACAAACACCAAGTCTTCAGCACGACTAGTTGCTAGTCGATTTCTTTTCACACTTTGAATCACAAATGCTCCAATTCCTCTCACAGCAAGAGGAGGATGCTGGCTGTGAAAGCAATTTAAAGGCCAAGGCTTGTAGCAAGGGTGATGAAGCCCCATGATTGGCCCACCAAGAAATAGGTTCCTCAAACATTCTTGCATCGACAACATGAGTTTGGCCGAAATAGTCAGACCCACTAGAAAATACTCCATATTCAGCATACACCTTTTGCAAATCAGCTTGATTAGGAAAGAGCCTTTTAAAACATTTCCCTCTATTTAGGGAGACTTTCTGATCTTCATGTGGTGCTACCCGTGCCACTCCATTACCTCCACTATTCAGCCAAGCATTACAATAGTACTTCGGGACCAATGAATGTGCCATACAATGCAAAGGAGTATTACTTTTGTTCCATCTCCCCTCCAAAATTTGGTGAACAACATCAAAAAAGTCCGATTGACCAATAATCATGTCTTTTCCTTCATGTTCAAAAACCCTCCTTTTGACATTTTCAATTATAGTATCCCACATATCATATACTAGATGCAAAACTGGGGTGTTTGTGTCAGCTATTCTCAACATGTCAATGATAGGTTCAGTAAAATTTAGAAGATAATCTAAATCATCCCAAAAAGTGTCATCAACAATGCATTTTTTCACATCACGAGCTTTATTTTTAGCAACTGTGTTTCCATCTGCCCTATATGTTTTCCAGTTTGGATCCATGACCATTTTTTCAAGAGATTCTTTAACTTCCCTTAACCCTTTAGCCATGATAAAGCTAGATGCAAATCTAGTTTCAGCTGCAGTTAGCAATTTCAGTTTAGAGTACTTAGTAAAGAGGAAATTTGTTGTGCCATGATTGAGAATAAAATTGCGAATATCTTGCACTTGCTTAACCAAATCTGAAATTCACTTACATTGGGCATGCTGAGGTGATTTTTCCGCTGGGTCGCAGATGCTCTTCAACACCAAGTTGAGACTGTGCACAACACATAGAGTCCAAAAAACATGTGGGTATTTGGTTTCAATGCTCAACCCCGCAGCCTTGTAGTTCGATGCATTATCAGTTACAATCTGGACCACATTCTCTTCTCCTAATTCTTTGATCACTTGCATGAACTAATTTGCAATGTAATCTGCATCTTTGGTATTTCCACTAGCATCAATGACTTTTATGAACATGGATCCTCCGGCAGATGCTGCCATTATATTGATCAGAGGCCTCTGATGCCTATCAGACCACCCATCAGATACCACTGAAACACCTTTCTTACTCCACGTATTTTTGATTGGTTGCAACAACCTGTTGACATGTTCTTTTTCCTGGTACAACAAAGTTGTTCACAGCCTATTGAATGTAGGAGGAACATAACCAGCCAACCTATAATTTTCAAGGATTAGTATGTATTTCAAAAATAGGTGGGATCACTGGGATGTGCAAAAATTAAATAGAAATAGGAAGGATGAACATAACCCCATACCTTGAATTTCCAAGGGTTAGTGAGTACTTTCGAAAATAGGGAGGCCTTGAAAAATTAAATGGCAAACCACTGGCGTAGAATATCCGAGCAGCTTCTTTGTCAACAACATCTCTGTCCGCAACATTGAATGCCGAAGGTAAAGGACCTTGAGGGGCCATTCCTTTACGTTTTTTCTGTTGGAGAAGGTCAGTAGCATCTGGTATGGTGACATAATCTGCCCTTTTCCTTGCATTCACAGCTTGTTGATACTTTTTAGTTTCAGCTTCTTCATGCTCCTTCTTTATGGCTTTCAATACATCATCAGTTATGGCAGGACAACTTTCAACATTGTGGTGAGAAAGCTTCATCAGGTGGCCTTTGACCTTTGCGTATGACCCAACAACTCTCTTGTTGCAGTAATTACACACCCAGATCCGATTTCCACCTCCATCCTCAGCCACATTGAGAACCTTTACATGATTCCACTGAGGCTTATCGTCAAATGTAGCTCCTAAAGGCGTCATTGGACGATTGACTTTTTCAGTTCCTTTAGAAGAAGATTGGGATGACTAGGATGAAGACATTTGTAGAGAGTTTAACCGTCATCGTTGCAAGAGAGGAGAGGATTTGACAAAGTATGGAAGCTTGTTCTAAGATCTCTGATTTTCGGTCAAAGACTATACTGATTTTCGATCAGAGACTATACTGTCTATGCATGGTCTCTTTGTTTTCCAAAGCTTTGTTCCATTCTCCCAGGAATCACGTTGATGCTTGGGCTGCCTTGTCAAGGTCTTATAATCTTCCCTTATCACAGATTGTTCGCATGGCTTATCACAAGCCTTTCGGTTGATGCTTGGGCTGCCTTACCAATTTTTTGTTTCTCTTTTTTTTTGATTTGATGAATTAAATATTTATGAGATGAAATTCCATGTTACTTTAGTGTTAATTTAATAAATTAATTTTTATTGGATAATTTTAGATGTTAATTTGATGAATTTGAATATAAATTGGATAATTTTAAATGTTAATTTGGTGTTAATTTTATTAAATATTAATTGGATAAAATTAAATGTTAAGTTGGTGAATTTAATGTTAACTTGTTTAATTTTAATGTTAATTTGATGAATTAATGGTTAATTTGGAGTTAATTTGATGAATTGAATATTAATTGGATAAAATTTTATGTTAATTTGATGAATTTAAAGTTAAATAGTTGAATTTCAATGTTAATTTGATGAATTGAATGTTTATTAGAAAAAATACAATGTTAATTTGTTGAATTGAATGTTAGTTTGATGTTGATTTGAATACTTAAATGTTTATTGGAAGAAATTGCATGTTACTTTGATGTTGATTTGATGAATTAAATGTTTATGGGATGAAATTCCATGTTACTTTAGTGTTAATTTAATAAATTAATTTTTTATTGGATAATTTTGGATGTTAATTTGATGAATTTGAATATAAATTGGATAATTTTGAATGTTAATTTGGTGTTAATTTTATTAAATATTAATTGGATGGAATTAAATGTTAAGTTGGTGAATTTAATGTTAACTAGTTTAATTTTAATGTTAATTTGATGAATTAATGGTTAATTTGGAGTTAATTTGAAGAATTGAATATTAATTGAATAAAATTTTATGTTAATTTGATGAACTTAAGGTTAAATAGTTGAATTTCAATGTTAATTTGATGAATTGAATGTTTATTAGAAAAAATATAATGTTAATTTGTTGAATTGAATGTTAGTTTGATATTGATTTGAATACTTAAATGTTTATTGGAAGAAATTGCATGTTACTTTGATGTTGATTTGATGAATTAAATGCTTATGTGATGAAATTCCATTTTATTTTAGTGTTAATTTAATAAATTAATTTTTTATTGGATAATTTTGGATGTTAATTTGATGAATTTGAATATAAATTGGATAATTTTGAATGTTAATTTGGTGTTAATTTTATTAAATATTAATTGGATGAAATTAAATGTTAAGTTGGTGAATTTAATGTTAACTAGTTTAATTTCAATGTTTATTTGATGAATTGAAGGGTTAATTTGGAGTTAATTTGATAAATTGAATATTAATTGGATAAAATTTTATGTTAATTTGATGAATTTAAGATTAAATAGTTGAATTTCAATATTAATTTGATGAATTGAATGTTTATTAGAAAAAATAGAATGTTAATTTGTTGTTGATTTGAATACTTAACTATTTATTGGATGAAATTGTATGTTACTTTGATGTTGATTTGATAAATTAAATCATTATTGGATGATTGTTTATGTTAATTTTACTTTAGTATTGATTTTACATTTTACTTTAGTATTTATTGGATAAATTGAAATTGGATGATTTTGAATGTTAATTTGATGATTGAGTATTAATTTGAATATAAATAGGATGAATTGAATGCTAATTTGATGAATTGAATATTAATTGGATGAATTAAAAGTTAATTTGATGAATTGAATTTTAATTTGATTAATTTAATGTTAAATAATTTGATGAATTGAATGATTATTAGATGAAATTGAATATTAATTTGGTGTTGATGTGATGAATTAAATATTAATTTGAATGTTAATTTAATGAATTGAATGTTTATTAGATGAAATTGAATTTTAATTAGTTAAAATGAATGTTAATTTGATGTTGATTTGATGAATTAAATATTTATTGTATGAAATGTAGATAAAAACTAAAAAAATATTATGAACTAAATATAGATAAAAGCTGAAAAATGAATGTTGAAGTCTAAAGAGGAAGGACTGAAAAGTAAAAATACAA